GGACCACTTTCTTATACCATACACAAAAACAAGTTCAGAAAGGTTTAAAGAACTAAATGTGAGATGGGAAACCATCAAAATCCTAGAGGAGAACACACGCAGAAACCTCTTTGTCCTCAGCCATAGCAACTTCTTACTGGACATGTCTCTAGAGGAAAGGAAAACAAAAGGAAAAATGAACTATTGGGACTAAATCAAGATAAAAAAAAACCTTCTGCACAGTGAAGGAAACAACCAACAAGACTAAAAGGCAACCTACTGAATGGGATAAGATATTTGCAAACAACATATCCGATAAAGGGCCAGTATCCAGAATCTATAAAGAACTCATTAAAATCAACAACCCCAAAATAAATAATCCAGTTAAGAAATGGACAGAAGACATGAACAGACATTTCTCCAAAGAAGAAATATAAATGGCCGCTACACCAAACGCTACACCAAAAACTAATGATGTAATGTATGGTGATTAACATAACAATAAAAATTTAAAAAAAAATAGGTGTGCCTGGGTGGCTCAGTTGTTTAAGCATCTGACTCTTGATTTTGGCTCAGGTCAAGATCTCAGAATTTCTAGGGGTAGAGCCTGTTTAAGAGAATGAGAAAATCAAGGAAATACAAACCAAAAGCACAATGAGAAACCACCTCACACCAGTCAGAATGGCTAAAATTAACAAGTCAGGAAACAAGAGATGTTAGCAAGGATGCAGAGAAAGTGCAACCCTTTTTCACTATTGGTGGGAATGCAAATTGGTGCAGCCGCTGTGGAAAACAGCATGGAGTTTCCTCAAAAAGTTAAAAATAGAAATACTCCACAACCCAGAAATTGCAGTACTGGGTATTTATCCAAAGGTTGCAAAAATGTTGATTTGAAAGGGCACATGCACCCCAATATTTATAGCAGCAATGTCTACAATAGCCCTAATATGGAAAGAGCCTAGATGTCCATAGACAGATGAATGGATAAAGAAGATATGGTGTGTGTATATATACATGGAATATTATGCAGCCATCAAAAAAGAATGAAATCTTACCATTTTCAACAATGTGGATGTAACTAGAAAGTATCATGCTAAGCGAAGTAAGTAAGTCGAGAAAAAAATATCATATGATTTCACTCATATGTGGAATTTAAGAAACAAAACAGATGAACTTAGACTGAGGGAAAATACCTGCAGATCTGATAAAGGACTTGTATCTAGAATATATAAAGAATTCTCAAAACTAAATAATAAGAAAATAAACCACCCAATTTTCTCAAATTGACCAATGATTTGAACATGCATTTCACTAAAGAACATATATGGAGGACAAATCAATCCCTGAAAAAAATAGTCAACACTATTAGTCATTAGAGACATGCAAATTAAAACCACCATGAAATACCACTTCACACTTATTAGGATGAGGAAACTTAGGAAGAGTGACCATAACAAACACTAGCAAGGGTTAAGAGGAACTAAAACTGTGATACAGTGCTGATGAATATGAAATTATTTTGGGAAACAGTTCAGTAATTTCTTAAAAAGTTAAAAAAATAGATCAGAGTGGGAGATGAACCATGAAAGACTACAGACTCTGAGAAACAAACTGAGGATTCTAGAGGGGAGGAGGGTGGGGGGATGGGTTAGCCTGGTGATGGGTATTAAAGAGGGCATGTACTGCATGGAGCACTGGGTGTTATACACAAACAATGAATCATGGAACGCTACACCAAAAACTAATGATGTAATGTATGGTGATTAACATAACAATAAAAATTTAAAAAAAAAATAGGTGTGCCTGGGTGGCTCAGTTGTTTAAGCATCTGACTCTTGATTTTGGCTCAGGTCAAGATCTCAGAATTTCTAGGGGTAGAGCCTGTTTAAGATTCTCTCTCTCCCTTTCCCTCTGCCCCTCCCTCCCTGACCTCACTCTCCCTAAGGAAAAAAAAATTAAAAACTCACCTACCATACAATTCCAAACTTTTCACTCCTAGGTGTTTACCCAAGAGGACTGAGAGTGTATGTCCACACAAACATGTATACATGAAGGCTCATAGGGCTTTCTTTCTAATAACTAAACACTGCAAACAATCCAAATGTTCATCACCAAAAAGATGAATAACTGTTGATTCATGCTACAACATAAATTGAATCTTAAAATATTACACTCAATGGGAGAAGTCATTGAGAACACAAAAGAAAAGAAAAAAAGAGGACATTATCTGATTTCATTTATATAAAACTCTAGAAAATGAAAATTAATCTATAGTGACAGAGCAGATAATGGTTGCCAGGGCGGGTTGGAGGCAAATGGGAGGATTACAATGGAGTGTAAGGGAATTTGGAGAATGTTGACTGTCTTGATTGTGGGGATGGTTTCATTGGTACATACAGATGTCAAAATTTACCAAACGGCATTCCTTGAATATGTGAAGTTTATTGTATGTCAATTATAACTCAATAAAGCTCTTTTTAAAATTAAAAATCCAAATCTTTTTTTTTTTTTGAATTAAAGTTACTTAACATATAGTGTACAATTGGTTTCTGGGGGTAGAATTTAGTGATTCATCACTTAGATATAACACTCAGTGCTCATCCCAACAAGTGCCCTCCTTAATGCCCATCCTCCATTTAGTGCATTCCTCCCTCCTCCTCCATTCCAGCAGCACTCACTTTGTCCTCTATAGTTAAGAATGTCTTATGATTTGGCTCCCTGTCTGGTTTATCTTATTTTATTTTTCCTTCCCTTCCCCTATGTTCATCTGTTTTGTTTCTTAAATTCCATGTACCTGTTAGAATCAGCTGGTCAGTGTCCTGCTGTGATTCTGATTGGAAGTGCATTGGATCTGTAGATCAGTTTAGGGAGAAGACACATATTAATAGTATTGAATCTTCTAACCCATAAGTAAGACACATCTCTGCATATATTTAGGTCTCTCATTCTTCTCAGAAAAGATTCAAAGGAACTTTAATCTCTTGAAATTTGTAATTTTTATTTTAATTTTTCTTGCTGTTGAATGAAAGGAAAGGACAGAAACAAGCTCATATGCCATTATTCCTGGAGCCAAAAAACTTGACCTCCTTCAAAGTCATCATCTTGGCTTCCTCGGGAGAAATAATTTCAATCTTCCTTTCAGCTACAATTTACCCATCAGAGAAGTGGGCTTTTTCTTTACTCCACAGGGATGTCTAGGTTCAATTATTTATCATAATTATTCTAAAAATCTGAGGTGTCATTATCTTCTTGCTTTTATCTGTGAATTGTAATTTTAGTATTTGGAATATTTCTCTTTTTATTTTCTTTTGTCATTAAGTTGGCAATAATGGTAGTTGATTATACAAATACTCTACAATTAAAGAACAAAGCAAAAACATCAGTATAAAGAAATATTCTGTATCAGCAGCCCATTAAAATCTGCTGACTATTTTAAGATAGAATAACACTTTTAATTAACTTACAATAGACTTTTCTATTACAATGAATTAAACTCTTAGCTATACATTAAAATCCTGCTAAGCAAATCAATTAAAACTACAGAAGTCAGAAATGACATCCTGGCATTAATAACACCTTATATTATTAAATGGCCAGGTTGAGGAGAAACAATTTTTTGTTCCATTTCACAGTTAAGGTAACTGCATTTTGCAGTAAAGGGACTGGATCAGGCACCAAAAGACCTGGACTTGGGACCCACCTCTGCTTCCTGCAAGCTATTTACCAAGCTAGGACTGACTTTTTTTTTTTTTAACATAATGTTTTATTTAAAAAAAACAACAACTTTATTTTGGGGGCACCTGGGTGGCTCAATCAGCTGGGCTTCTGCCTTTGGCTCAGGTCATGATCCCAGGATTTTGTGTTCAAGTCCCACATCCAGCTCCCTCTCCCTCTGCAGCTCTCTCTGCTTGTCGTGTTGCACATGCTCTCTTTCTCTCTCTCTGTCAAATAAAGAAATAAAATCTTTAAAAAAAGAATTAAAGAATAAAATAAAATAAACTTTATTTTCATAGAATACATTTTCACATTAGAGAGTCCCACCATGGGAAAATAACGATTTATTACTTAGAGTTTTATATTTGTAGACAGATTTTTTAGGACAAGTAAAATAAATACATTTGAGGGATAAGTCTCAGTTTAGATTCTGTAATATTTGCATACATCTATAAGGGGACCTCTTCCCTACATGGAACTTCTCTATACTCAGAAGCTCTCCAGACTCTTCTTCCCAGGATTTAGAAATTACTGATGTGAAATACTAGTATTTCCTAATTTTAAAGTTTCCCCAGGATATGTAACTATCTGTAACTGGTATTGATGAACAGAAAGGGAAGCTTTCAAAAATTAAATACTAACTGATTTTCTGCAAAGTCTTTACTTATGAATTAAGAGCTTTCCCTTTCTCCATCATTCCCAGGACAAATACAGAAGTTTGATCAGGCATTGATTGTAATAAAGCTGCATTCCCTTAAAAAATTTGATAAGTTAACAGGCAAAAGCTCACACATAATATTTATTATTTATTTATTTATTTATTTATTTATTTATTTATTTATTTTTAAAGATTTTTTATTTATTTATTTGACAGAGAGAGACACAGCAAGAGAGGGAACACAAGCAGGGGGAGCGGGAGCGGGAGAAGCAGGCTTCCCGCTGAGCAGGGAGCCTGATGCAGTGCTCGATCCCAGGACCCTGGGATCATGACTTGAGCCAAAGGCAGACGCTTAACAGACTGAGCCACCCAGGTGCCCCCATACATAATATTTAGTTACCCTGTGAGTCTTGTGAGAAGCTGAGAGACAATCTCATAAACTCACGAGAGCAAGGAATTCAGGCTCCAAATTTCTTGGCTACAATTCCTCTCAAACCTTTTCTTCAAAGACTAAATTCTAAAAATAACCAGGTGATTAGGCAAAGAGGTTTGGATTTATCTGTTATTTCCTCCTTACTGTGATTTGAATGGCATGACAGAGCAGAGTCAAAGAAGTGTACAGTCAATTCTCAAGGTGTTAAATCAAAAAGGTCAGAGCTTCCACAGCTTTGCAGATGCCCACATCATGATAGCTGAGATAACAAAGTCCAACAAAGGTTAAAGCTGGGAGTGCCAAAACACTTGCCCTGGCAGGTTTCTACAAAACATCCCCTCGAACACAGTCAGGAACCATTTGTGCAAGGCCGCAGTTGACTATAAAGAGTGAGGGCTGCAGCTAGGGAACAGTTGTCCATTGCAGAGCCAGGATTCAAATAAGCAGCTGGAATTAGGCCCAGGAGAAAAACATTGACAACCCTCTAATCAGTCCAGTGGAGAGATGCAGCCTTGGAACCAGAATGGTAGTTAAGTGACAGGTGAATGTGTTGTGTTCTACACCATTCTGGGCTAGGTTGGTCCCAGAGAAATGCTGAGACATGAGCAGGTCTGACCACTGAGATTTGGAGAAACATAGCTCAGCCTTCTTGCACACTTCACAGGACACTCAGCCTCCAGAGACTTGCCATGTCTCTCCTGAAGGCTCAAGGTTCTAGGATTGACATTCTTTTTTTCTCTTTAGAGTGAGGTGGGGAGGGGCAGAATGAGAGGGAGAGAATCCCAAGCAGCACGGCCCAATGTGAGGCTCGATCTCATAACCTTGAGATAGTGACCTGGGCTGAAATCAAGAGTCCGATGCTCAACCAACTGAGCCACCCAGGTACCCCCCTAGGACTGACTTTTAATGACTGCAGAGCTGCCTGGCCCTTTTCCTAGACAGAATCTAGTTGAGAACACAGGTTCAGTCAATCTCTTTCTCAGGTATTTATTTCCTTTGTAGCCTTCAGTAAGTTACATACATGTATAATCCTCAATTTGTTCATCTATAATATACGGATTAAAACAACATCTATGGCACAGGGTTGTTGAAAAGATTAAAATATAGAATGCAAGTAATATGTTTAATATAATACCTGGACAAAAATTATTCTTCCTCTTATTACATCTCATACTTTCCTCTTAGGACATTGTTATAGAGAACCAAGACTCTTCTCTTCCCCCCACCCCATAAATTATTACATTTCTGAGAAAGTGGGTAAGAAGTTATCTGTGGACTGTAAAAGTTGACTTTCCACTACAACTATGATTTTTTTTTTTTTTATTGTTAGCCATCCCTTGAATTCCTGGGCTAATTCTTTATATAAGCAGTTTTCAGATTTTATTCCATTTTACAGATTTTAACAGGGGATGGGCAAGCAGGCCTAACTCAGAGATCATTTATTCAGCTGCAAATAAGTTCCCACTACAATTTTATTAAAAAAAAAGACAGTGGATAAAATATTTTCAAAATATTTATGATTTTATTTCTAGTGCTAATCTGTGCTACTATGGACAAACAAGATTTGTCTCTGCTATGCATTATGCTTAGTTCAACTAAAAATTCAAGTATAAATTCAAGTATAATTTCAGGTGCTATCATGTGTGGGCAAGAAAAGGCACTTGAGTATTCCCTCTTCTCCATTTAGGTAGCATAATAAACCAAAGAAATACCAGAAAGGACAGAGGGATATTCTTTTATTAATAAGATAATTATTAATGAGTATAATAACAGTCATTAGATTTATTTTCAAAGATTGTCAAAACATGTTTTAATTCCTCGTCATTTAGTATTTGCAAGCCAGGAATCCATCTATTTGATGCAAAGAACATCTTTTCTTTCTGGAGGATATTGGGGTCCTGTTGATATGCTGTAACCAGCACACGTGGCCTAACTGAACTGCACCCCCAAGACATGGATTCACCTGCTCACTGGCCACAGCTTCTCCATGGTCCTTGTTCACATGGTCCTACTCTGTCCCAGATCCCTGCCTCTGTCCTTTCCTGACCAATGTCAGAGTATCCCAGAGTCAAAAGCTCTTTATAAACAAGAAGAGGTAGAACTACCAAAGCCAATTCAATTTTCCATCTTGAAATTGGACAGAGAAGTATGGATGGAGGGTCCAGTCAGTTTCAAGAGAAGGTACAGAAATGAAGGAGCAAAGAGTGGCCATAGGAGACCATGAGGGAGCTGGAAGTTTGAGTCAGCAAAAACTGCAAGAAAAAGAAAGCTCTTTCAGGAACCAGGTGAGGTGTGCAGTTGGAAGAAATAGGAGTGTTACAGAGATGGGGAAGCTGAGTGATTGCCGAGACTGAAGATGGTCACATCGTATTGCTGCCTTGGGTCCTTAGCGACCTGCAGCTGAGATTTCCTGCACAGTTATGGTTTTAAGTTTTGTGCAAGTCCCAATTACACACTATTCCTGAGTTCTTATGAGATTCTGCCTCCCTTATTATCAAGGCCCCACACTTTCCTTCTGTTACCCGAATGGCCTAAATATCATATCAGCCATATTTCCATACAAGAGTCAGCATTGTCAAAGGGAAGATCGCCCACATTCCAGTGTAGTTCAAATGGCTTCATTGGATACTGGAATGTTGTTTCACATCCAGTTTTATGTTGAGTTCAATTTGGTTCCATAGGGGCAACCTGCTGGTTATGGTTCCTGAAACTTTTCTGTGAAGAAAATACACGTGTCTAAGTCTGAAAATTGCAAATTTTCACAGAGACTCATCTTCATAGCTTTCTTTCATGTCCAGAAAGTAGTGTAGATATAAAAGCTATTTTACACTGTATGCAACATAGGCAGTCCTTGCTCTTCATGGCAGTATAGGACTGTAAAAATGTCTATACAAGCTGAAACTATGCAAAGTAAGACAATCAAAGGGACTCTCCTGAAACCTTTACAAATTTTTTTGGAACATCAAAATTTGCTGAAACATAAAACATTAATATATTAAACATTTAAACATTAAACATTACATTTTTTAAAGATTTTATTTATTTACTTTAGAGAGAGCGAGTACGAGCAGGGGGAGGGGCAGCAAGAAAGGGAGAAGGAGAATCCCAAGCAGACTCCATGCTGAGTGCAGAGCCCTACGCAGGGCTTGATCCCAGGGCTCTGAAATCAAGACCTGAGCTGAAATCAAGACTCAGATACTTAACCAACTGAGCCTCCCAGGCACCCCTAAACATTAACATTTTTAAATGTAATCCAAATTTTAAAATTTAATTTTAATGTAATTAAACTTTGCATTTTTAATTTCTTAGTTAAAATGTTAATGTAATTAAAAAATTTAATATAAACTAATAACACTCAAATTTTAATTAAACATTAACATTTGTTGAAACATTCAATTTTGTTGAAACATTGAATATATAGGACATACAATAAATAAATAAACTGTATACTATATAATAAATAAAAAGTATACTGTAATAGTTTTTCATAAATTAATTTTTTTAAATTAATTGTGTTATAATTTCAAATTTATGGAAAAAATGTAAAACTGGTATAAGGAACTATACCCCATTGTTTCCATTTTGCCCCTTTTGCTTTCTCATTATAACTTTTCTCTTTCTCTTCTCTCCCACACCTCTTTTAAATCTGAGAGGAAGTTTGGGACCCCTCATTGCCTCCAGAGTATATTTCCTAAGAACAAGGAACCCTATACAATGATCAGAACAGGAAATGTAACGTTGATACCATTATCTAATCCACAGTTTATATTCAAGTTTCCTTACTTGTCCCAATAATATATTTTATACATATTTAGCCCAGTGCAGGATCCAGCCCAAGATCAAGCATTGCTTTCAAGTGTCACATCTCTTTAGTTTCGTTTAATCTGGAGCAGGTCTGGGGGGGCGGAGCAAGATGGCGGAGGAGTAGGAGACCTGGATTTCGTCTGGTCTCAGGAAATCAGCTGGATAGGGATCAAACCATTCTGAACACCTACAAACTCAACAGGAGACTGAAGAAAAGAAGAGCAACAACTCTCTCATCAGAAAAGTGACCACTTTCTGGAAGGTAGAACGTGTGGAGAAGTGAATCCGAGGCGATATTCGGGAGGATAGACGGCGGGGGAGGGGCCTCCGTCGGCCGCTTTTGGCAAGTGACAGAACCACGGAGCACAAAATCGGAACTTTTAAAAGTCTGCTCCGCCGAGGGACGTCACTCTGGTGGCTAAGCGGGGGGTGGAACCCTCCGGGACAGTGTGGTCTCAGGACCCTCGGGGTCACAGAAAGACCGGGGGTGCCTGAGTGTGGCAGAGCTCCCAGGTATCGGAGCAGGGAAGCCGGCTGCAGAGGTGGAGCCCAGGCGCGGGCTCTCAGCTCGGGGTGGCCATAAACCGTGATCCGCGGCACAGTCGGGCCACTGCTCCTCCAGCAGGGACCCAACAAGCGGCAGATCCGGGGAGACTCACCTTCCTCCCCCGGGAGGAGCGGCGCGGGAGCGCACCACAGGGATCTGCTGGGTTTGGAGACTCCACCCGGGGTCGGGTGCCAGAGATAGAGGCGCGCGGTCGCAGGCCGGGTGAGCACGGAGTGCGGCCGGAGACCGGGGAGACGGGAGTGACTGGCGGCTCTTCTCTGGGGCCTCACTGAGGAGCGGGGCCCCGAGTTCTCGGCTCCTCCGGAGCGGAGATTGGGAGGCCGCCATTTTAACTCTCCGCCTCCAAAGCTGTACGGAAAGCTCACAGGGAACAAAAGCCCCGGAGAGCAAACCCGAGCAGATTACTTAGATGGGAGGGGGCAAGGGCGGGGCAATTCCGCCTCTGGCAGAGACATTTGGAAACCACGGCAACAGGCCCCTCCCCAGAAGATCAGCGAGAACAGCCAGCCAAGACCAAGTTTACCTATCAATGAGAACGGCAGAACTCCAGCGCTAGCGGAATGATGCACATAGAATTCATGGCTTTTTTACCATGATTCTTTAGTCTTTCAAAGTTAATTTTTTTTTAACTGTCTTTTTGTCTTATTATTTCTTTTTGAATTTTTTTTTTCCCTTTTTCGACCAACATCTTATCAATCCCTTTTCATTTTTAGAGTCATATTCTATCCCTTCATAGTAGTTACCCATATTTTTGGCTTATATATATAAGTTGTTCTCTCTTTAAAATTTTGAGATAGTTTCTTCTAACAGATTAAAATATACCCTAAATCTCTAGTATATGGTGCTTTCTATTCCCCTGCCTGATCACATCCTCTCCTTTTTTTTTTCTTTTTCTTTTTTCTTTTTTTAAATCCTCTTCTTTCTTTTTTCAAACAACTTCTTATCAATTCCTTTTATAACATTTTTTATAATTTCCATTTTTACAGTCATATTCCATCCCTTTATCATATCAACCCTTATTTTTGTACATATATAAGTTTTTCTTTCTTTAAAATTTGGGAGGCACTTTCTTCTAAAAGACCAAAATACAACCCAAATCTAGAGTGTGGCACTGATCTATATACCATATAGATCATATTTGATCACATTCTGGTTTTCCTTTTGTTGTTGTTGTTTTGTTTTGTTTGTTTTTGTTTTTGTTTTTATCTTTATCTTTTTTTTTTCTTTTTCTTTTTTCTCTATTTCCCTTTCTTATCCCACTGCTTCAGGCCTTTTCTGATTTGTTTAGAGTATATTTTCTGGGGACTTGGTTATTCTGC